TTTGATTATAATAAGTATCTTATTTTGCTCAGGCATGGGCCGATCGTGGAGCTCATAAATAAAGTTACTCAGCGGCAGACGGGCAGTAAATTAACGCGAAAATAGATCTAATTAGTTGCGGAGGAATCGGAAGGGTCGGCAGGGATGATATGGGGATGACGGTTAGACTTCCTGACGAAATTCATAAACGCGACCGCGACGATCCGGGACAGTTAGAAGGTCGCTAACGAGTGTTTCCTCGCGAAGACCCGATCCTTCGAATCCGGGGCGATGTCCCTGGGGCTGCCATTATCGTTGACTTGGTCGTCTCCGCCATTATCCACCGCGACTACAGTACCCCGTAGCTACATCCTCCCTCTGGTTCGCCCACCCTTCCGAATCACGGCCCTCCTCGTTAACCTCGAAACGATCGTTTCGAGGGCTCTCTCTCTCTCTCTCTTTCTCCCTCTAACCTTCCTAACGGAGCCCTTCTACCGTCTCTTGCGTTTTGCTCCACCCTCGCCCACTCTCCTCTGCAACGCACAAATACATTTAGTAACGTCAACGTTGGAGAATCCGAAAGAGGGTGGCCTCCCGAGAGTATCCTAATGAGCGCGAGCTTGTCTGATTTGTGTAAATACATGCGACTATCAGTTTCCTTAGGAAAATAACAATATCGCTACATTCTATTGTACTTCAATGAGCATAATTTTTTTAAGGTAAACTGTGATATATTTAACCCTTAAATGCCACCCGGGGTCCAGAGGATCCCAGACCCTTTACAATTATATATTTTCAAATGTTTCCGCCAAAAATGGAGCTCATGCTCCCTCTGATGATAGTTGAGTGATTGAACTACCAGTGTGTACACTTAGCAGTACTCAGTTTCCTTAATTTTTTATACTATGTTGAAATTGAAATTTTAACAATATAAGCATTTTATTCTCTTTTCTAGACCTTGAACAACATTGAAAAAAATTTTCATAACTAAAGATAAAAAAATCAATAAGTAAGGAGACATTTTTCATGCTGGGGTCTTTTAGACCTCTCATGTCATTTACGAGATTCTTGTGAGGTGTGGCATTTAAGGGTTGAATATAATAAAATTTGAAATCAAATGAAGAAAATAAGCTCATAAACTTTCAATGAGAGAACCCCTTTAATTTGTTATCGTTTGGATATATTATTTCTTGCGTATAAAGTCGTGGATCTTCAAGTACAAGATCTTCCGTGCGCAATTCTTTCGAAGGATCCTCTCCTTTTCCGGTGTACTCGCGCGAACAAAATAGCCGAGTATTTTTTTCGAATGTATTTTCTTTTTTTAACGAAAACTCGCATGCGGTATTCCGTGGCACGCAAACCGATCAAGTTTGCCTGCCGCGAAAACAAGCCGCTCTTGTTTTCGCGCGATGATCAGTCCACCGTGAATCGCCTCCATCTCCCACATCTCTCCCTGTTTTTGCGCGCAGAGAAACAACAGTTTCGACGTTCTCTCAACGATAACAAAGGAACGATGAACGGGCCGGATTCGTTCATTTCACCGAGTCGTGAAAAAATATACTTTCGCCGACGACGAGAGCGACGCGAAATATTTGAGGCGTGCGAAACGCGGTTTACATCAGAGTTCCATGTTTTCCCGGAAGGGATACGGTCGCGAAGTCACAAAAATTGTGATCGGGCAGCTTCGAGTCCCATTGATTCGCGTAAAATGTTATTTTACCCCACTTAACCACGGCACGTTTTGTTTCTTTTAAAAATGCTCACGAAATATAACGTCGATCATCACATACGGAGAAATTAAAGATCCACAACTCGTGTTGCAATCGCATACTTTTTTTCTTTCCATGAAAACAGACGACGAAAAATTGGCATGATGATTTTTCCACGTTCTACATATCCTCCAATACTACGAATGTGCGATTCGATAAATTTTGGAAATTCTAGAGATCAAAATTTTTAAAATTTTCTTGCGGATATCAATTTTTACTTCAGATTTAAATTTAACTATAAAATAATTTTATACTTCTCTTACTTTCTTCAGTCATAAAAGCATATTCATGATTTTGGAATAAGAGGGACGATATCACCGTACACGATATTAAAACTGTGGCGTTTGATGGGAACGCATTGATTGTGGCGAGCGGCGATTAAACGCTGATTAGGACTAATTATCGAGCGGCGCGCATTTACAGAATCCGCCGTTTATAATTCCCCTCGGGAAAGAGGAGACTTCCCATACGATTCGCCTCCAGGTTTCCACGTGCGGACGCGCACGTAGACACGCACTGGAAAGTCCGCGCATTCGGTAAACGCACGCCGTACGTTGAACTCGCTCTCGTCGTATTCGCCGACGACGAAGGGGGCAAAAACCCCGAAGAGCCTATATCACGGCAGAAAAAAGTTTCTCGGCAACCTTCTAACTATAAACCTCTGATTAAAAATGGAACGCGCGGGAAAAGGGACCGGGGGCAGCATCGAGGAGGAGCGGCAGATGCCACGCTAACTGATTATTGTTCAACACCAGGGGATTGCATCTCACCACGTCGCGTTATTGCATGTTTGCACCGTCTAATAGGATAGACTGCATTCTTCCGAAACGCACGTCTTCCTACGATTTATCAGAAATTTCGCACGGCCGTGCGCGGACAACGTGGCGCCTCCTCGTAACTAACTACTGCCAATTAATTATCCAATTAACTTCCAAGTAACGGTAATGTTGTTTGTCCTGGCACGAAACGCAGGTAAACGCGATGCACTGTGGTACCGCACTGAAAAAAAGAAGTCACGGTTTTATATGTAGATGCTTCATTTAATGAAGGAGAGAAATGGGATCAGAGCAGTTCTTAATATTACAATAGTTAATTATTTTATTCGCAATTAAAAAAACCTAGATTCTGTCTAATCTCACATAAATAAATAATCTTTCGTGTACTTTTTTTTATTTCGGCGGGTAGCTAAAGATTAAAGTGCCACGTATGGAGTATCGAAGTTGCTTTCCACCTACGTCTGCTCCCTCGTACTACGTGCTATGAAATTTAAGAAAACTTGAAAAAAATTATAAGAAATAAATTTCGCGCTCTGATTATCTCAAATAATCACGAGTGGTATTATTCGAAATTGCAATTGTCGGGACACAAATCCTCCACATAAGTCGATTTCGTCGCGATCTCGATTCCACCTCCATTCACTTCAAATCAAAGTTCCGCGCATCTTTTGCATCATTCCCGAGGAAAACCGAGAACTTTTCACAAAAGTTGGCGTGATACAACTTCGAGAGATGCACCCTCTGAGCTCGGTCGCGTACAAGAACGTGGAGCGAGAAGAAGAGGACACGTCGTCGTCGGCAGGACGGTCGCGGCAGAAGAAGTGGAAGAGGAAAAGGAAGAAGAAGTAGCGGGGCGGAGACGGAACTCTGTCGTAAATCACCGGCAGTACGGAATAACTGGCAAAAGCGCGATAAATCAGGGATCCCCGGGCACCGAATTAGGAAATTGCCTGCTTAAAAACCGCAATGACGTTAATCCCGGCGTGCCGGCGAGCGAGCCAGCGAGCCAGAGCGAGCGAGCTGCCGTTCGACGCGCGTATATCGGCAATCCGGAAAATAAAACTGATTCGGCCAAGGAGCGATTCCTGGGTGGAATAATGCGGAATAAAATCAACGTAACTCAATCGCGCTTGTCTTTCGAGATCAGCCTCTCCGTCTTCGCCGCTGATAAATGTTCGATATACACCACGGACTACCTGTATACGGAAGTAGCTCGTTTTTCTAATTTGCCGCGTCTGTGCCGCGGGTATATTAGGATAAAGCGTTGTTTGGGGAAGAACGTAAGGCACGGTGATATTCGATTCGACCTACGGTCTCACGAAAACGAAATCACGCCAGTTCTCATGCCGACGCGGCGAGATCCCAAGAGGAGATAATTGATATTTAGATAAGCAATTACACTGGAAATTTTATCCTGTACCTCTCCTTTCAAATCGTGAAATTTTGTTAGAAGATACGATGAGTTTTTTTTGAAAATTTTATCTATCTCATTTGTGTAACGCTCCTTATTTGTTAAACTTAATAAAAGTAAATTAAATCATGGAAACTAAATCTTTCAAATTTTATAAAGACATTTGTACACGTTCACTAATGATTCTAGCGGCCGCCGGTTTCGAGAATTCGAAACGCACAATGCGTAGCTGATGGACATCTACGACGGACTGTGACATTCAATATTGTCAGATTTTCGACGGGATACCTGACAATTGACCGGAATTAATGGCTAACCGGTGCGCGAGCCGATCGCCAGCCGGTCCAACTTCCCTTCCGGAACATGAAACGGCGCGTTAATGAGTTTTGCCCCGCGGCAGTGGGCCTAAACACACATAAACGTAAGCGAGCCGTGCCGACGCGATGAGCGGTAAGCATAAGCGATCGGCAAGCGACATTATACGACGCGGTAATCGATTACGACGCAATCGACTGCCGGCGCAAACGCGAGTCGGCGGGTCGCGGCGGGCCGGACCTGACGAACACGAATGGACAGACGTTCCGCTTCGGCGCATTAATCAAGTTATTAATTATGTAGTCCTCATGCTAATTGAGCCTGTAATCTGCTCGCGTTGCCGTAAAATATCCACGTCGATTTACGTATGGGGCTGAATGCGACAACAATACGTTATCGTTATTATCGCCGTCCTCTACCGTGACGTGCGCGTTCCGTTTCCGCGTTGAAATTACAACGACTTGAACTCTACTTTCTACTAGAAGATGGAAAATGAGATTTAATGAGAAATGCCACGATATTGTGATTTTTTAAATAAAATGTCAGAATTATATTTGACACTTGATTCCTATTTATATTCTTCATCTTTCTATATACTTTTATCTTTTTTTATATCAACCAATATAAGTTTGCTATTCAATTAACATAAAAAATGCTGATATATTACATTACTGACGGGTCTTTTGCAAAACTTTTACAGAATGCTTCGCATTTAACTATTAAACATGAACGGTTAAATTTCTGTTGCAGGAGATAGCGACCAGGAAATGGAGAAAAGCCGGAAAGGCGATAATCAGCAGGCAACCGCACAAGGATATTCTTAACTTCGAGAAACGAATTTATTCTTCGCGCAACTTCTGTTCCACGATCGAGTTTAGCAAAGTATCTTGCGCTTCGCTTGAACAATAAATAAATATTCCAACTCACTGAGGGTTCTTATCTTCCAGCAAAAACCCCACGATTTTTAGGCAATAACCGCGGCGGACACGCTAATCCGCCGATCAAATTAATCGGAATACGCACTTTCACGCGCTGATAAAAAATGCCGCCAAAAACATGTCAGCTTTGGAACATTAATCAAGAACGGGATAAAAAGATAATATTAACGCTTAGTCGGCCGACAGTGGCCAACATCAAAGGACCTCCCCTTTCTTCCTCGTTTACAGTGGCGTACTTAGAATTTTTAGATTCTTGTGGAAACTCCATTTTATTCTTGTTAACGTCAAACATAGTAATTTCAGATTTCTATATTCTAAGGTATTATATAGTACTAAAGAATTAAAATAAATGTCTAATGTTATAGTCTAATATTATTTTATATAACGCCAAAAGAAAAGATTCCTGTAAAATCCTTGAAAATAAATATGTCTTTGCACAATGCATCAAAATAATTTGAACTAACGGTTATTAATATACAAATAAGATCCTGATTTAATGATTCCATTTTTTTGCATATTTTCTATAGCTAATTTCTTGTTTCTATGCCGAAAAAGGCTCGTTGCTAAGTTGCTTATTCTTGTTTGTCACTATTTTCATTTCGCCGTATAGCTACGGGCCTGATCGGCTCGCTACCCTTCGCCAACGTGATCGTTTTAGAATCCTCGGCGGCACCTGCCGTGCAACCTGGGGCAGCGCGCTCCGCACGTAAGTATATACGAGTAAGTATACACTTAGTCCTCGTGTGCAGGCTGCGTGCCGCGCGGAGAGGCCGCGCGGCTACGGTTATTACACGCGTCACGCGGCATTCCGTACGGTCACGCACCCTCCCTCCTCCCACCCTCCCACGGAAGCCCCCGAAGGAGGGACCCTTATCGTCATCCTCTATCTTGTCAGCCATACGCAACCCCATTAAACCACTTACGATGTGCCTTACACGACTCAAAGGCCGTTGTCGTTCGTTCCAAGAAACAAGACCTCTGTACACGAAGCCAAACTATGTCTACTACTTTACCATTTCTAATTCTCTAGTAGTCTACTTCGTGCGCGACTCGAGCTGAAAAGTGCAAAAGGACACCGATTCACCGACTAAAATTTCAGATGTTGAAATATCCTCGTAGAAATCTGAACCGATGTAAAATGTCACCAAAGTAATTTTTTAATAAATAACATCTCTTTTACATATAGACGATAATTTTTTTATAAATGTAGATAAGTTCGAATGAAACGAATACAAGCGATATGAATAATTCACAGAAAGCTATGATTGTAAAAAATATTTACAGACAGAGGAGTGTTTAGCGAAGATCGAACAAAACATCGCTATTGGTTTATGTTATGAAAAAAAATAACCGCGCATCTCACCGCAAAATAGCTTTCCCTCTCTACAACGCTCCTCTCTTACGCACGGGTGAAAAAATTAAGATTGGCACCTGCGTCACCTCGCACACAACTTTGGCAAGATAGAAATCGAGTAAAACTTCTTTTCATACCGCTCTTACCAAACGAACTTTGCCCGTTGCTTATGAAACCTGCATAATTTCAGAACAATTGTTGGATGAAAAAGTATTTTACTTCGTGTTTTCAGTGATCAATTTAGAATTGGTTCCCAATTTCGTCCTGATCAAATTCTTAATCGCTTTCTTTCCTCTTTTAAGTTTCTTTCGAATTTAAGAGAATCGATGTGTCTTAAAATTGAATAGAAAAATATGTCAAATATTTTAATATATAATTATATAGCATTTTCTTTTCTTAATTATAAATTCTTCAAAAAGTCGCGAATTTAATATGATAATCTAACGCGATTGGAGGAGATTTCCAGCATGCGCTCTCTCTCTTTTTCTCTGTCTATGATGCATTTTTTTCATAATCTTACGATTTTACGGCCTTTTCCTACTTCGGTGGAATTTTTGCACAAAATACGTCGATCCAAGTACGTTTTCATTATGTCAGTAGCCAGAGTCACAACCGAAACGTGTCGAAGAGTCGCAATATCCCCCGAATACCATCCCTCTAAGATCTTCTGGCCCCGAATAAACTCGTTCGGTAGGATTCCCGCGAGTTACCACACGCGGCGTGAGCAATTCCGTCGAGCTATCGGCCGCCAATATCAAAAGCGAATGTCGGGGAAACGGACGAACGAACGATCTCTCCAGCATCCATCGAGAGGGAACAAGCCGGGGAGTGCGAGCCGGGAAATTTTCTCAGCCGAGAAAAAGAAGATGGTCGATCTCCGTGGAGGAGAGCGGTAGCGGAACGGACACGATATAGTCGCTGATGGGCATACATATATATAATATATATATATGTACATACATACATACGTACGCCTCTCTTTGATATAGTGCGAAATCGTAGCGTCTTGAGGAGGCGGAAGGCGGAGAGAAGAACCGCCGCCGTTATCAGCTCGCGGCGGGATTGGCCGAGCAGGGGGACGCGGGGCTCCGTCGGCAGCCAATGGCGTCCTGGTCTCGGCTTTTCAAGGATTCTGCCCCCCGAAATCCGGCGTGTCCTGTGCGCGACGTACACGCGCGCGCGAGCCCGTCCTCAATGTACACGAAACCCCCCGACTTTTCCAACCCCGTACACACGCACATACATCAAGGCCGCTGCCCACCGGTCGCCGGGGTTCACCATCGCCGCCGACGCGGTCGGATGTCCAGCTATTTCGTATATTCCACCCTCTGCCAACCCCACGACGACTTCGCTCGTCGCTCTCCGCCCGGTCCGTCCTTCCCCTTTCTTGCGAACATCTCTCCAGAAAGCATCTCCGATTCGCGTCACAATGATCCAGCTTTTTCTCCGCTTTCTGGGATTTCGAGGAAAGCTCGAAAGGCTGATGATGGTAGTAAGGTATTACGAAAGAAAGAAAACGCGACTTGTGTGTAGCCTCCACACACCATTTCGGGATAATGCGAATAGAATTTATATAAGGTTTTATAAATCCCCTTACACGTATGCATAATTGTTTGTAATATCGTGATAATAGTGATAATAGACTTGTTCTTCTCCAAGAATCAACCGATATCCTCTTAATAAATTAATAAAATATTTTTTTGCGTAGTTTATTACCGATATACTTATATGAAACAAATATTGTATTAATATTTACTTTGAATTATCTTATTTCAACAAAGATGTTATTTAATATTTTAAAATGTCGAGAGATCTGACATTAACAATTACACACTACAAATTACTATACACAATATTACAAAATAAAGAATATGATAATATAAAATAATAACGGAAAAATCATTTAAATTAAGCTAATTGCCGCTGTTGTCGAACAAAATTTATATCAAAACGTTATCTTTTCAATGTGCAATTTTCTACATACAGTAGATAATAAAATAGACGAAATTATATACAGTCGTTTAAAAAGTTAGTAAGACGACGAGCGGAGATATATAAAAGACGAGACCGAAATCGCAGCTTCCACTTCAAGGCACTTTCCGCCAGTTGCCGCAACTGTTTCTCCACTTGCGAAAAGAATTATGAAGGCGCTGCGAGTGACATCGCGCGATGCCGACAACAATATAAGAGCACCTTTAAGGACACCCACTCTTGTCTTCTAGAGTTCCCCGATATTTTCCTCGGTTTCTTTAACTTTTTATCGGCTTTTTATCGGCAGTTACGGAGAAATGCGAAAAAAAGTGAATACAGCAGAAGTGTCCTCAATACGATGGCTGCTTGCAACGATTGAACGAAACTATTGAAGAAGATAAACGCCGAAATAGAAAATATTTTTAGTAATAATATCCACTGTGTAAAACGCGACGATACATTTGCTACGGAACTCAATCGTAAAAATGACGCGGCGTGCTCATTAGAAACACACACTCTGATTTTTGCGCTGCTAATATAGCGCTCTAATGTATTCGCGTCGGGGCATTGGTCGACTAATTGTAAGTAACTCTCGCATCGGGTGCGTTTTTCTACATGGCGATCGCACCGTTACGGTGCGATCCGCGGCTTTTGTGTCCAATTAACGCCGAAGATCTCTCCAGACGGCACTCTCGGCGATACAGGTGAACGATAAACGTGGGCAGTAAATAAGCGCGGCGAGCCCAGGAGAAGGAGAAAAGAACCGAGTCGCACAAAGGAGAACAGGACTACGCTATTGATAACATTATCATAAAAGCGACGTTAAATGGTCAGTCGCGAGGTTACACCGACGCCACGCACCGCTGCCGACGAACGACTCTATAAATGCGTTTACTTTGAGCCGTAAAAGCGCCGTACTTCGTCTGGCACCGTTAAACGTATACGTACATTGGCGGGCACACACGTACACACGCACACACACACACACGCGGATGCAATGTATGCTGCGATGTCTGTGTGTGTTTGTACGATGCAGGAAGGAACGGGAACGTCGACGAAGCACCCGGCGCTTTACGGTAAAAGCCCTCTTTGAGTGATCCGTTTATTGGTTGCTAAACATCGATATATTGCTTTCGGGGTTGCGCAAAGAGCCGCGCTGTGTCCTCCGTATACATATATGCATACGTATACGGTAGGCACGTCTCTTTCTTTCCCTCTTTCGCGTTCGAACAAGCATATACATAAAAATATAAAAAAATATATATATTTTTCTAAGTATATATATATAAATATATAAAAAATATATATACATATATGTATACACACATATATATGTATACACAAAACACGAGGTGCGCATATAATACCGTAGTCCCGAGCGTATCACGCTTTCTGAGCTTTTGAAAGCACCGCGACGACGTCGCGGGTCGCCGGCGCGCCGTGAGGCGAATAAATATCTACAAGCCTCCTCTTCGAGCAGATACTACCGATTTCCAGATAAATCCCGCGAAAATACCACGTTAACACCTTGAGCCGTTATTTTCACCGCGTGTCCACCGTTAAATGCCTTTCACAAACATGACTTTATTCAATTCTTTCACTACACTGTTAAATTCGTAGTGTTAAATTATATTGGAGTCATTTTTAATCATTCCTATAAGTC